CGCGGGAGCGGTTTCACCTCCTTTATTGTGCGTTGCCTTCGCTACAGTCACGACCCCAAAATCCCGTGAAATCAACCTGAAACCGGGCGCCCCTCCCCTAGCAGCCCCACCCTGACACTGTGGGGATGCCCCATAACCTGGGGGGGGTGTGTGTGCCCTGAAACTGTGCCTTCCTCCCCAAATCTGGGCTGCCTCCCCACGTGCCACCACCGTGTGCCACTCTGGGGGTCCCCCACCCCCCCCCGGCCTCATCTTCATCATCAAAAAAAGCCTCAACGTCTAGATGAGGTCCCCAAGGCCCTCATGGGGGTCCCCAAGTCCTTACTGGGGGCTCCCCATCTCCCCAGCCTTCTCTTCATCATCAAAAAGGGCCTCAACATTTAGAGGAGACCCCCAAGGTCCTTATGGGGCTCCCCCACCTCCCTGGCCTCATCTTCATCATCGAAAAAGGCCTTAACATCTAGAGGAGGACCCCCCTCAAGGGGGGTCTCTGAGGTCCCCACATGGGTCCCTTAACCTCCATGTCCTCCTCATCTTCATCTAAGGGGTCTCCAAAGTCGCTATGGTCCTTCAGTGTGTCCCCAAGATTAATGGGTGTTCTTGAGGTCTTAGAGAGGTCCCTTGACCTCCATGTCCTCCTTGTCCTCATCTAAGGGGTCCCCAACACCCACAGAGGGGTCCCCAAGAAGGTCCACCATGTCCTTAAAGTCCACAAAGTCCTCCCTAAGGTCCCCGTGGAGGTCCCTGAAGGTGTCCTCCCATCTCCTCAAGGTCCCTAAAGGTGTCCCCAAGATCTGAGAGCCCTCCGGGTCTCCTTGTCCCCCTCATCTCTGTCTCACGGGTCCCTAACAGCCATAAAGGGGTCCTCCAGGGTGTCCCCAAGGTCTTAGAAAGGTCCCCTGACCTCCACGTCCTCCTGATTTTCATCTAAGGGGTCCCCAAGACCCGTAAAAGGGCCCCCAGGTCTTAGAGCTAAGTCTTCTGACCTCCATGTCCACATCATCTTCATCTAAGGGCTCCCTAACATCAGAGGGGTCCCCGAGGGTGTCCCCAAAGTCTTAGAGAGGTCCCTGACCTCCATGTCCTCCTTGTCTTCATCTATGGGGTCCCCAACACCCATGCAGTGGTCCCCAAGGTCCTGCTGGGGGTCCCCAAGGTCCTAGAGAGGTCCCTGACCTCCATGTTCCCCTTGTCTTCATCTAAGGGGTCCCCAACACCCACGCAGTGGTCCCCAAGATCCCCAAAGGGGTCCCCAAGGTCTTGCTGGGGGTCCCCAAGGTCTTAGAGAGGCCCCTTGACCTCCATGTCCACATCATCTTCACCTAAGGGGTCCCCCGCATCCATAGAGGGGTCCCCAAAGGGGTCTGCCACGGTGCCGAGGTCTCCCTGGGTGTCCCCGAGGTCCTCGTAAGGGACCCCAAAGTCACCCTCCAAGTCCCCGAGGTCCTCCTGGACATCCCTGAGGTCCCCATCGGCATCTCCAGGGGGTCGCAGCAGGGGGTCACCCCCGCCCCATGGCTCCCCCATATCACAGTGGGGCTGGG